CTTCTTGACCCCTGGTATGGATGCCCGACCATGACTCAGAGGCTTGCTAACATTCTATTTGAACAATTTCTGCAAATAAAATACAGTTGACCCTGGAGTTATGAGCAACCTGACAGCCAAATGTCTCTGGTCAGGACTGGAATTTATTTTAATTTATGAACAGAGTCCTAAGTCAGGACCCAAATGCCAGCTGCCTATGCTCCCAGAGCCTCTCAGACACAGATTTAACCCTCACAGAGTATCAGAAGGACCCTGACAGCATCCTTTCCCATAGGACGTTCACTGAGAAGTCCTGGGTCAGTGTCTCTCTGAGGACCCAAGCTCTGCCTGTGTATGGGTGAGAGGCTGTGGAGGCCGGGTAGAGGAGCCTGAACCTCCAGCTGACAACGGGTTACAACCATCCCGGGGGCACACACTGAGCACGGAGGTCAAGGGTCCGAGGTACCCAAGCAAATACAGTATTTACAAAGAAGTCACAAAGTTAATTTTTAAAAAATAACTCCCTTTTTAGGGGCTGGGGATTTAGCTCAGCGGCATAAGCGCCTGCCTTGCAAGCAGGCAGTCGTGAGTTCAATCCCTGGTACCGGGGGGGGGGGGGGGGGACCAAATAAATAAATAAATAAATAACTCCCTTTTCTTTGTCCTGAACTCACTAGGTAGCCCGGGCTGCCCTGAAACTCAGTGACCCTCCTGCCTCAGCCTCCCGAGTGTGCCACCACACTGGCAGCTGTGCATTTTTAGGGTTTAACTGTCTCTGAGTCCATGGGCACCTCCGGCCCCGCACCCTTCATCCTCTCCAGCCCCCTGGCACTGACTGGAGGCTGTAGGACAGGAGCCCACAGGAGCGGGCAGTGGGGTCCCAGGCAATTGGCACGGCTCTGTGAAACCCTGCTGGAAGCCCCGCTGATTGCTGATGCTGAGTAACCTAAGTGAGAGCCAACAGGGCTGCCGGACCTCGGCGCACTCTGCCCAGCACTCACCCCGCCTGGCGTGAAGTTCCCTGACACCCAAAACCACGCTCAGCCCAGTTCCGGAAAACTGAGGGGAAGTCACACTGAGCACGTGCGCCTCCGCACGCTCCGCACGCACCCTCACGGCAGTCCCCGGGCTCCAGGGCTTCCCCTGGGCCCACGCGCCAAGGTGGAACCTTGCAAGCACAAGGTCGCAAGGTCGTGAGTTTGATCCTGGTACCAAAAACAAAACAAACAAACAAAAAGGAGGAGGCTGGGAGCTGGCTCAGCGGCACAGCGCGGCCGAGAGCATGAGGTCAGGAGCTCAAAGCCCAGTACCAAAGGGAAAAAAGACAGAAAGGAGACAGATCTTTGGCAAATGAGAGAGACCAAAAGACAAAGAGAGGGATGGAAAAGCATTGAGATGAATTATAGACTTGCACTGATGCCTCGAGATGAGTGTGATCAGCATGTACTGCAAACATGGACCAATAAAGACAAAACTTTGAAAGATCACAATTAGGTCAGCTAACACAAAAGAGGCCAATATGGAAAAATAAAGTACAATTCTTGTGTGGAAGAGTACTTGGTTTGCTTGCTTGCTTGTTTAAGACAGATCTCACTATGCAGTTCAGGCTGGCCTTAAACTGGCTACCTAGCCCAGGCTGGCCTTCAATTCATGGTGATCCTTCTGCATCAGCCTCCCAAGTGCTAGGATTACAGGTGTGTGTCACCAGGACAGATCTAAAAGCACTTTGAAACCATACAATTTTATGATACTCACATACAATGTATTTATCATGTCATGCAACTAAAAATATGGGTGCCTGTTGTAACCAAGGACTGTGTCCCCCACAAGATGCACTGGAGTTCCTTTCTAAAGGTGGCAGGTGTGAGGAATTAAGTTTTGATTGGCTTGTGGATGAGAGTCATGACAACGCAACCTCCAATCAACCCCTGCGTCTCCTTAGGGACTCAGGCTCTGCCTACTGGTGTCTATAACTAAGGACCACGGGGCCTGGGGCCTATTCAGCGACCTCTAGCCCGAGATGCTGCTGCGCACTGGCAGAGGCCGGAGACCCCAGACCAGACTCCAAGCGGCCTACTGTGCACAGGACGCCAGCTTAATTTTTCTTTTGCATTTGTTTGCTTTAGTCAAGGTGTACACTTACTGAAGACAGAAAAGCAATCCACTCTGCAGGGCAAGAGCAGGCTGGCGAGAAGGCCCCCAGCGGCTCCCAGGATAAGGGGCAAGGTCTTTTGTGTCTAGAACTCCCAAACTGGCTTTCCCTGCGAGCAGAGAAGTTGGGGGGACAGTGGACCCATCAACCACTCACTTCCGGTGCCAGGTTAAAACTGGTCCCACAGAGATGCTAAGCTGCTTCCTGGCTGTATGCAAATGAAGGATCAGAACAGTGTGTATTGATTGGTTGTGCCCATATGCAAATGAAGGATTGAAAACTGCGCTTTTCTGATTGGTCCACAGTGGTCCCCTAGTCCTCTCATTTTAGAATAGGACTCTGCATGCCAGGGTAACTTCCGGAAGCAGGGCCTTTCCCATCTGCCAATGATCAAGTCATCTCAAGGTCCCAGGGGAAAGGCAGCTGCACCTGGGGGGGGGGGGGCCGTGGGAAAGGGGTGAGTAACCCGCCAACACACGTGGACAGACAGACCGCCGAGGACGTGGCCTGCAGTCAGGAGCCACCACTGCCTGCTGCCCACTCTGGACCTGCACGCAAAGCCCCCAGAAGCTTCCCCACTCCCAGAGGCTTTTGCTGCTCCTGCCTGGCCCAGAGAGACTCCCCACCTTCGAGCCTGGGCCACTGCCCAAGGCTGGGCCGCAATCCCCACTTCCGAGTCTCTAGATCACATCTGTATTGGTGCCTCAACGACCACCAACCTGAGGCCAGGAGCGTGTCCTTACCAGGTCTCCACAGTGCCTGGCTCTGTGCTGCAAATGCCTAACCTGGCACAGTGGCACGCACCTGTCATCCTAGCCCTCAGGAGGCTGAGGCAGGAGGATCACCACTAGTTCAAGGCCAGTTTGGGCTACACAGTGAGTTCAAGGCCAGCCTAGGCTACAGAGGGAGCCCCACAAACTAGGCTCCAAGAAGCCCTGCCCCACCCCCACAGCATATGACACCATATGACACCACTGACTTAAACTCTAGAAAATGCAGAGCCGTGCATGGACAGCAGATGGGTGGGTCCCAGGGAGGGGAAGGGCAGGAGAGCCCAAGGAGGGGGCCGTGGAGGGGAAGGGAGCCCGGCACCATCTCCCCTGCTAGCTCAGTTCCCTGGGTTTGCACACACGACCAAATATTAAATTTCAGTTTGCATAAACCACACCTCTGGAAAGCCAAGCGTCTGTCACTTCCGCACCAGCGCAGCTGTGGGGTAGACCCGTGACAGAGTGCCGGCACACGGGGCTCAAAAAATCAAATCTAATCTTCACAGGGGGCAGGCAATGAGCTAGGCGCGCCCCCCCCCCCATCGTCCACTATAAATGCTCAGTTAAAGAGAAGCGGAACCGCAGAGGAGAGCAGCTGCGGACTGGCGTCCTCCAGCCGTAAAGCACTGGTCCCGGGCCGGGGACTTGGGCTTGGCACTCTGCCCTGCACCTCTGCAGGTTGCAGGCAGCCATAGAGGCTCCCACCTGTAATCCCAGCATTCCAGAGGCTGAAGCAGGAGGGCCACAAGCTGAGCCTAGCCCGGGCAATTCAGTGAGACCCCATCTTAGAAGAAAGAATAAGGGGGTTCGGGGTGCAGCTCGGCACCAAGAGCCTGGGTTCCAAAAAGAAGGGGGTGTGGGCTGCCGGCTGGGGGGCAGCAGCAGCAAGCAGAGGCCGAGAGGAGTGCTCCTCCCCTCGGGGAGGATTGCGCAAGCCGCCCCGCCTGCTGGGCTCTTCCTCGGCGTGGGCAGGGCTCCGGGGAGCCTGCTGGGGCGCCCGGCCTGCGATGTCCCCACCCCACCCGAGGCCGCTGAGCTGCCAGGGCCGGCAAGCCCGGAGGCGGGGTCCCCGGCCCTTGCGATTTGCTTAGGTGGGGAAAAAATGAAGAGCAGCTGGGCCGGGCAGAGCAACACCCCTCAGTGTGCGTGGCGACGGGAACCTGATCTGAGTCCCCGGAGCGTTTTCTAGCTCTGTCACACGTCTTCAAAGGGAAGGGAGCCGGGCACCTGCCATCCTGGCACTTGGGAGGCTGAGGCAGGGGATGCCAAGTTTGGGCCCAGCTGGGGCAACATAGCAACCGAATGAGAACTTGAAAATAAAAGAAATGTAAAAGAGGCCGGGGACCGAGCTGGTGCAAAGGCCCTAGGCCGATTCCAGACCTCACCAATGAAAAAAAGGAAGGAAGAAAACCAGTGGGTGAGGCTGATTTCAACCGGGTCTCAGTGCCTGGGTGTGAACCACTTGCTGTGCCGCTGGGGACCACGGGCCTCTACCTCACCTCATCCGGGGTTCGCTGCTATTTGCAACCCACCAGGGACAGAGCTGCCAGTTGGGAGAAGTGAAGACAGTTCCACAAGCAGTGAAGAATCAGCGGTGACCTGGGCTGGGGCAGAGTCCCCGGCTCCAGGATTCAGAATCCAGCAAGCAGGTGGTGGCCTTGAAAGCCGAGCCCACCCCCGACCCACACTCAGCACAGGGGAAGGAGCTGTTTCCTAAGACAGCGAAGGCTGGGGGCCGGGGGAGGCCTGGGGAGGCACCAGGTGCCTGCAGCCCCCAAAGGCAGCACTCAGGAAGCTGAGACAGGAGGGTCACCATGAGTTCCAGGCTGGCCTGAACTGTGTAGCAAGACCCTGCCTCAAACAAAACAAAAACAGACGCAGAGCTGTTTCAATCCTAGCAAGCTTTGTCTGAGCAGTCAGAAAGCTCCCTCACCGCAGGGCAACTTTCCTGGGGACTGGATTTCTCCATATGGAAATACAAGGTAAAACAGTTCTCCTGGGGCACAGGCATTCAGGTCTGTCACCCAGTGCTTGGGAGGCTGATGAGGCAAGAGGGCTGTCCTGAGTTCAAGGCCAGCCTGGGCTGCCCCAGCACCAAGGGCTTAGCTCCCCACCGGCTCTGTGAGCCGCACCCGAGGTGCTACGTGGTTCTTTTTACAAAAGCTGCCCACCCAGAGGCTGCTCCCGCATCCAGAGCCACAGAAACATCTGCTGCCTTCCTCCCTGCCTGACCGGGCCTGGGCCAGGCGCCTCCCAGCCCTCTGGGGTCCCGGCTGCTCCCCCATACTCAAGTCTCACCCCGATTTGGTTAAACGTGACGACTGAATCATCTGGTTTCCAAGCAGCTAAAATAACTCAAGAAAACAAAAACGCATCACTTTTCACACAGAAAGCTCAACCGCCCAGGGCGACGCACTCACTCGTCCCCAGTGGCCCGGGAAGCAGCACGGTGAGGGGCATCCCACGCTCTGGTCCCAAATCCACGGTTCCCAAGGACTCGGCCCCGATCCTGGGCAAATCCTCTCCCACCAGGCTGGGCCGGGTCTCTGTCACAGGGTGAGGACCCAGTCTGGATCCCCACCAGCCACCACTGGCCATCGCTGTGAACTCCTGTCCAACTGACACATCCTGGCCCTCAGGGAGGCTGAGGAGGACAGTCCTGGCAAGTTGCAAGCCTGGCTGCACCATGGGTCGGAGACCACCCTGTCTTCCAGGACACAGCACCTCAGCGTCTTCGAAGCAGACCACATTGAGGGGGACAGTGTGACTGTGTCCCCCTGACACCTCACCCCACCTCAGGGACAGACACTTCCAGATGGGAGGAAGCTGAGGTCTGCAGAGCGTCCCTGTGTCCAGGCTTCGGCCCCACATGTCCACCTGGAGCCCCGAGCCACCTCCGCCGGGACCCGACGCCAGGAGCCGCCCATCCCCGGTGTCGCCCCGGGCTGGGACAAACGCTCATTCTTAGTGGGAAACAATGCGTCACATGTCCCAGCCGCCACGACCCGCGTCACCCATCTGATGTCCACCCGCCCGGACACCAAGGCCAGCTGGTGATGCCGCGTGGCTGCTGCCCACAGCTTCCTGCCTCTTCCTCAGGACACCATAATTCTTATCAGCGAGTTGGTCGCGCACCCCGCTGTCCTGAGGCCCGCGCCTGGCGGGTCCCCAAGCCCGCAGGAAGGTAAGACAGACTTGTGACGGAGACAGGCCGGCCTGGGAAGCCCAGCGACCCTCCTGCCTCAGCCTCCCGGGCGCTGCCTGCCTCCCTCCTCGGACAGCGCCCAGCCCGAGGCTGAGGAAGCCGCCCTGCGCCAACCGGGCTGCGTTTCCCCAGCGAGGACGCAGCAGAGGCCGCGCGGCGCCTCGCTCCACCTCGGGCTCCAGCAGGCGCGGTCCCCGCCCGTGCCCGGCCCCACTCACACGAGCGCCGCGGCGCAGGGCGCCTGGCCCCAGGGGCAGCCGGGCCGGGCCTGCACGAAGCTCTCGCTGCCGTCCAGCACCGCGCAGCTCACGTTCCTGCTCACGATGTGCGCGCAGCGGTTCCTGCGGGGACAGAGGGCGGGTCAGCCGGCCGGGCGGACGGCGGGGCGCGGGCAGCGGCCGGGGCTGGAGCGCGCGCGCAGGGAGGCCGAGGCGGGAGGGTCCGCTCAAGCGCAGCCGGGCCGACTCAGACCCGGTCCCCGAAGCGAGCTTGCGCGGGGCCCTGGGTTCGCTCGGGGTACCACAGGAAAGGAGGAGGAGAGAGGGGAAGGAAGGGGAGCCGAGCGGGGAGCAAAGCCGCGGAGAGCGCGCAGGCCGGCCGGGACCCGCCGGGCGCCGCCCTCACCTGCGCCCCGGCTGCGCGCCGCCCAGGCTCAGCCCCGCACCGCCCAGCGCCGCGAGCAGCAGCAGCGCCGGGGGCCGCATCCTGGCCGCCCCGCTCCGCAGCTCCCACCGGCCGCGGGGCCGCACTTTAAGCCCGGCGCAGTGCGCAGCGCGCGCCTCCGTCCCGGGCGGCTCCTCCCCCGGCCCCGCCCGCCCTCTCCCGCCCGGGGGCCGAGCCAGAGCCGGAGCCCCGACCGCGCCTCGCGTCCGAACTTTGTTTTCCCTCTTGAGTTTCCTCCCCCGACTGTGGTTTTTTTGAGACCGGGTCTCACCGGGTAACCCGGGCTGGCCTTGACCTCGCGGTGATCCTCCTGCCTCAGCCTCCCGAGCGCTGGCATCATGGGCGCGCTGCACTGCGCCGGCCCGAACTTACTTTCTTTTACAATCAGAGTGAAAGGCACGTACACCCCGCACATCTGGCCCCTACCTGTCGTCCTCGCCCCTTTTTCTGTCATCTGCAAGTTCAAACCCATTTACGCAGGCTGGGCCAGCGCACCCCAGCCTGCCTGTGCCTCTGGCCAGCAAGCTTCTGGACACTTGTCCCTTCGCTTTCCTGCAGGACTGCGCACTCCTGTCACCCGGGGCTGGCGTGGGCAGCGCCGCACTAACGCCTGGACGCAGGAGACTTTCCCGGGAGACTAACTCGACCACGACTCCCTGCGGTCGGTTTTCTCTGGGATGCCAGGGACCGAGCCTAGAGCCGGGGTGCGAGCTGCGTGCCAGGGCCTTGACACTCTTAGTTTTCTTTGACCCAGGGTCTCACAGAGTGATCCTCCTGCCTCAGCCCCCCAGAGTGCTTGGTGGTTCTGGGTTCTGGGTGCATTTCTCGCTGGCTTTGGCGGTTTTCTCAGGGATTCAGATTTGCAGATGAAGCAGGAAGATGCCCTGGGCAGAGGCTTCGCAGGGCCAAGCAGAAAATGAAGCCAGAGCAGCCTCGATGGATGACCATCCAGGCCGAGGCTGAGGTCAGCACCCTCGGAGGAGACCCAAGGGTCGGGGAGGCAGACTCCGTGTAGGGGGCTCATGGGAGGGAAAATGGGCTGTAGTGTGTTCTGTCCACGCTGTGGGCAACCACTGCTATGTCCTCTGGCCAGGTGATCCATGTCTACCCAGCTGTCCACACTGGCAATGTCACCCTCTGCCTGGGCAAGGGTCAGGGTGACACGGTCTCCTGATCCCCATCTTTGCTTCCCAGAGCAGATGTGTCTGCCTCCACCAGGCCCTGTGTGGTGTCTATATCGCTTGTAGTGAGGGGAGTGAAGCCTGAGCCTGTGGCCCCCGCATGCTGGGAGGCTGAGGCAGGAGGATCCAAGGTTCTGCTCAGCCTTGGCAATGCAGGTCTTGTCTCAAAATGGAAAATAAAACGGGGCTGAGTACAAGCCCCAATACGAAAGAAAAAGAAAAAAGAGAACTCCCTAAAGCAGTTGTGGTGGAGCATTCCTGTAATCTCAGTACTCAGGAGGCTGAGGCAGGAAGATTGCTGCTATAAAGTGAGCTTCAGCCTGAACTGCATAGTGAGACTGACCTTGTCTCAAACACACACAGACAGAGAAAGAAAGAAAGAAGAAAGAGAGAGAGAGAGAAGAGGAAGAGGAAGAGAAGAGAGGAAAGAGGATGCTGTGCAGTGGCTCCCAGTCTTCTTGGCGGGGACCCACTATGACCAGGCGGGGTGACCCCAGGAAGCAGGCACCACTGCCTGCCCGTGTGGGGTGCAGCCCGGGGCAGGGCTGGATGCTTGGAGGCCGAGGAGAATCCACAGCCCCCTGCCCACTTCGAGGCCCCTGCCCTGAGTGTCACCCAGGATCTTCGGAGCCCGCACCTGGTGCGGTCTCTAAGCTGCCTTCCCACCCCGCAGCCATCACTGAAATTATCTTTGCCGAAAGCCACGCGCAGTGGTGCAGGTCCAAGAGCCGGCACTGGAGGCTGAGGCAGGAGGACCGCCGGAGCCAGAGGCTGCCTGGGCTGCGGAGCGGGACCCTGTCTCAGAAACAAGACAAAGCCCAAGCCCAGCGCCACCCCCGGCGCCACAGTGCTGGGTGCCATGCAGTGCCCGCTCCCGTAGCCTGGGTCTCAGGACCTGAGCTGCCCGGGAAGGAGCCACTGGAGGCTGCACCCACCCCGCACTGAGCCCCTGAAACCACACTGGAGAGCAGAGGGGAGGGGAGGGGAGGGGAGGAGAGCTTTAGTTTGCCCTGCATGAAACAGGTAACAGTGGGGCGGTGCTCTGAAGCAGGGTCCAGCTGAGGAGCCCAGGCTGTGGACCCCAGCGATCCTCCCGCCTCAGCCTCCCGAGTGCCAGATGACGGGTGGCACCACCATTTTGCCGGCTTGCTGTACAGCGATATGGAGTCCATCGCAAGGGGACTAACAGGAGAGGCTGCGTTGTCCACAGTCAGGGAGGCTGGGGAGATGGTGGGGCACAGAGGGGTGGCACTGGGAGGGTGGGGGTGGGGGCGTCAGGCCGGGCAGGGCGAGCCTGTAGGTGGGTGGAGGGGGATGGCAGACTGGGCATGAAAGCTGGGGCCGGACTCCCGGCAACCAGGGAGGCCGAGGCAGGAAGATCAATGAGACCAGGAGCACAGCCTGGACAACATGGAGACGCTGTCTCAAAGGCCAACGAGAAGTGGGTGCAGGCTGGTGGTGTCGCACAGAGGCAGGGCCCAGGCCCAGCCCGGTGGTGCCTCTTCCAAGTGAGAAGTCGCCAGAGAGTCGGCCGTCCGGGCAGTGGGGCCAGCGCCAGGCCTCCTTTCTCATCCGGAGCCAGGGACGCCATGTCCCCCGGTCCCCGTCATGTTTTCAGTCTCCTTTCATCTTGAGAGGCGTCTGGATTTGGTTACAGATGTGCAGGGCACCTCGGTCCAGGCCCAGGCAGTGAGGACGGTTGCTTGGGGGCGCCTGGCCTCGGGCCAGCTCCTCCCCATCCTGTGTGACTTCTCCATCTTTTTATTATGAGTTGGGGTTTTTTTTGTTTCTTGGAGGTAAGAGTCTTGCTATGTAGTCCAGCCTGGCCTTGAGCCTGCGGCACCCTCTTGCCTCGGCCTCCTACGTTTCATGCACACCGCGCCCGGCCTCAGTGATGAAGCATTTGAGACTCACTAGCTGGTGAAATGGGGTTTCCTTTTCCCCACAGCAGGGACTAAACCCAGGGCTGCTGCAGCACTCAGCTGCATTCGGGCCCTTTTCTACTTCCAGGTTGAGACGGGGTCTCACTAAGGGGCTCGGACTGGCCTCCAACTGGGATCCTCCCGTCTCGGCCTCCTGACTAGCTAGGACCACAGGCGTGTACCACGGTGCCTGGCTCCAGCAGGCATCCGGATGGGCCTCCCTGGGCTCGGGCTGCTCAGTTTAGAGTTAATAACCAGGCACCTAACTGCAGCAGCCCTGAGACCCACCTGGAGGTGGACAGGTCGGCCGGGCGGGGTCCTGGGTCCTACTGTCTCAGGCGCTGGAAACACAACCCCAAGGCAGCGCACACAGCAGGTTCCGGGCACAGGGGCCTCGGCATCTCTGGGCCTCCAGCGAGCTCGGGTTTCAGGCTGTTATTAAAATCACAGGGCTGTTTCGCTTCTCACTTGCCCCAAGGCCGAGTCCTCTGAGGCCCTGTGAGGACCGCGTGGTGCCAGGACTCCGGGGGAACAGGAAGGACGGCTCGGCCTGCGACCCCCTCTCTCGGGGACCTGAGTGGCCCGGCTGGCATCTGTGGGTGCTGGGGTTCTCATGTGCACTTTTGTACACGAAGATGACTTCGTTAGTTTTTGCTTTGGTTGGGCTTTTTAGATGGGTCTTACTATGCAGCCCTGGCTGGCCTGGAACTCAGAGCTAGCCTCCTGCCTCAGCCTCCCAGGTGCTGGGATTCCAGGTGTGTGCCACTGTTTCTGACCCTGGTCGGCCTAGCTGCTGACCAGGGCTGCGCCCCTGGCCTCTTTGTCCAGCCTTGGCCCCAGATCCCTGTAGGATGAAGCCTCGTGGGGCCTGACTCGCCCAGCTCTAGGCTGAGCAGAAGCAGCTGGTGAGGACGGGTGCACAGGCGAGGAGGCGCAGTGCACCCCAGGCTCCCCTGCCGCCCTCCGCCCCCCACGCTGGCTCTCTCTGTTCCCACTGTCGACTTTTACTCTGCTCTGGCTTTCCCACAGGTCACTCACGGTCCCCTTCTCCGTGGCCGAGCAGTGCTGCACGTGTGACCACCTCATCTGCACCCTTTCCTCTGTGGATGGACACGCGGGCTCCTGTGCTGTGAGGACCACAGCTCCCATCCTCAAGTTGGGTTTTCCTTTTAGAGACAGGGTCTCTCTGGGTCACTACATTGACCAGGCTGGGCTCCCATTTCAGAGCCTTCTGCCTCAGCCTCGCGGAGGGCCCAGTCTGACCCTCTGGCAGATGTAAATGAGTTGAGTGGACACAGTGTGAGGAGTTCTCCTTGCCTCTGTCAGCTCTCACACACCTCCAGGACCTGAACCAGAGGCCCTCCCACCTCGTCCCCGTCCCCAGGGAAGGGCCATTTCCAGACCCTGCAGCCCACAACAGCCAGAAAGCAGCGTCAGCCTGTGTCATGCCAAGGCCAAGGTGTGAGCTGTGGCACAGGGCCTGAGGGACCAAGGTCCTGGTACTGCCCACGGCTCCAGCCAGGCCTCTGCAAGGCAGACCCGCCGATCACTTTGGTTGGCTCCAGAGGCCCAGGGAGATGGAAATCAGTGAGCTCTTGCACCTCTCCTCTCCTGTTTTTTGTTTGAGTCAGGATCTCACGATGTAGCCCAGGCAGACATCACATCAAATTCCCCGAGATCCTCCTGCCTCAGCCTTTCCACTGCCGGGCTCAGGTTTCTCTGGAAATGCAGGCTCCAGTGAGCGGTCTCTGCAGGGCTCTGAGTGGCTTTTGGATTTCTCAGCGGTGTCTGGTTGGGGCACCCACAGGTCTGGTAGGGCAGAGCTGTCACTCGAGCAAATGGCCTCTGGTAACCCTGTACTCTGTGCTGCCAGGAGGCCCTCAGAGACTCAGCACAACCAGTACTTACCGTGGGTTGCCTCAGGGAGAGTCAGTACTTAGCAACTCTCACTGCGGCAGGGCCGGGACTGGCCTCAGCGAGACAGCGAGTACTAGCGAAAAGGCAGCCCAGCGCCCCAGCTGGAGAGCCCGCAGGCGGGGAAGTGGGCATCAGGTTGCACTGCTGGGGTCTTGCCTACTCAGGAGGCTGAGGCAGGAGGGCCTCAAGGTCGGCCTGGGCCACACAGCAAGGCCCTGTCTCAAAGCAAAGACAAACAACAGGCCGCTGAATCTGGAAACAGATCCAGTTTGCCGAGAAAAGCCCACGCAAGGAGGGCTGCAGTGCCCTCTCCCCTTCTTGCTCCAACCCAAGCCCCAGGCTCAGGCAGGTGCTGCCCTCTGTCCCTACTGCTGCCCCCTGCCCAGGCCTCGTCAGGGGTGCAGGCCCAGCATTTCCAGCAGATGTGGTGGCACACGCCTGTGATCCCAGCACTGTGGGAGGCTGAGGCAGGAGGATCTGTGTGAGTGTTCCTCACTGGGACTCGGGACCAGGACCAGACAGTGGCTTCCGAGCACAGCACTGAGTTCTGCCGGCCATGCTGGGCGATGCAAGCTGTGGAGTTCTGTTCTGCTCCGAGAGACTGCCCTGGTGTCAGTGCCACGTTCACAAAAGCAAAGTCCTCAGGTGCACTGTCCTCGACTGTCCTAGAGTCCTCACTGCCATGTGCAACTTGACTCCCTGAGTCACTTGCCCAAGTCACTCAACAAACACGGAGCAGGAACAGAACTCGGTTACCAAACCAGGGATGGCTACAGTGAGTTTAGGCCCAGCCTGGGCCACATTGGGAGGTCCGTGCCTCAAAAACCCAAACCCAAATGGAACAGAAAGAGGCGGCCACCTGCTACTTGTCCTGGGCGAGGCTGGCCTGGACTGGGCTGGGGCCTGGCTGCTGCTTTTTCGAGGGGCTGGGTCTGCTCATCGGTGGAGAGTAGGGAGCTGCTGCCCTTGTCCAGGAGCCTGGCCACAGTGGAAGGTCCTTCGCTCCCTCCCTCTGCAGGCACAGGCCGGGCTGTTCAGGGAGAACGAATGAACGCAATCATAGGCAGGCAGGTTGACTTTCAAATTATCTAGGAAAGCAGGGATCAGGGATCTTACAGATGCAGCCACAAGCTGGGTGTGGTGGTACACGAGTGTAGTGCCGGCACTCTGGGAGGCTGAGGCAGGAAGATCACAGGTTTGAGTTCAACCAGGGCTACTCAGTGAGACTGTCTCGAAATAAAAAATAAAAAGGGCTGGGGATGCAGTGCAGCGTGAAGGCACAGGGTCCAGACAGAGCATCGATGTGGCTTGGAAGCCTAAAGCGATTGGCTACCCTGGAAAACCACAGAGCCCCTTCCAGGCCGCTGAGATCACCATTTCCGTAGATCGCCCAGAGCACATGTGATCTTTTCTTTGGAGACTGGGTCTTAGCAAGCTCGCCAGCATGGCCTCAAGCTCACGAGCCTCCTGCCCCAGTCTCCTGAGGAGCTGGGACTGCAAGTGCAGCCAATGTGCCCAACTTCCCATCTTCCCTGTTCCCGACTAGGCTTTTGCTTGTGACAGGGTGTCCTTGAACTCATCAGTCCTCCTGCCGCAGTTTACCAGCCCTGGGGTTTTAGGCACATGCCCCCATGCCCAGCCCTGCTGGGGACCACCCTGGTCCAAACCTTCAAGAGCTCATGGTGGGCAGTAGTCCTTTCTTGCTGGTTTGACTCGTATGACTTTGTTCGAGGCGCATTGTTTGGCCCCTCTCAACCCCATTCCTTTACATGGCTACGTAGTGTTCTATTCCTCTGCACCCTGATGGACCCCAGGTTCTCTTCACTCCTGGACAACTGTTTCTGTAGACATCTGTGCCCTGATTTCCATGGGGAAGGACTAATGTTTTTATTTCTCTCAGGTTTATGCCCAGGAAGCAAACAGCTTGCTCATTTGTTTCAGAAACTCCCACATCACTTTCCAAAATGACCGATCTGCTTTACACTGCCCCAGGGACACGCCAGGGCTCTGGTTACCACGCATCCCGGCGCACACTTCCAAGGACACCTTGTTTTGGTCCCAGCTGCCCAGCAGGCGGGAAGCTGTGCCTCATCGCAGTTTTTGTTGGTACTTCCTGATGGCCAGTAAGGCCACACACTGGGCACTTCCATCCCTTTTGGGAAAAGTCTTACTTCTTGAGTGGTGAGGGCCTTTGATATATTCTTCCCTGGTGCCCTGGGCTTGCACTCTCTCATTAGGCTGGTTGTCTCCCTACCTTCTTTGAATCAAAAGACTCGACAGCTTGGGTGGAGCCCAGCTTCCCACTCTCCTGTTGTCTAGGCCTCTAGCATCATTTCGAGAAACCCGAACTCAAAGCCATGAGGATTGAGCCCCGCTTTCTTCCTGAGAGCTTTGTTTGCGGTCTGATCTTCGTACGGTGTAGGGACCAAGCTCCCTTCCCTACACGGTTCATGTGACGTGTCAGAATTCCTGCTCCGGCTCTTGCAGCTCATCCTCCTGCCTCCTCGTGCCACCAGGGCTGCTGTCTTGGTCACACTGCTGCTTCCTCCTGCACCCTGGAACTGGAGACATAAGCGTTCCCTCCGCGGCTGGCATGGCCTGCTGTCCAGTTTCCTGTGCTTCTCCAGGACCCACAAGGCCAGCTGATGGCTGCACATGTCAGGACCTGGGGGAATGCACTCTTCCCACTCATGGCCACAGACGTCTGCTTGTTCAATCTTTAATGTCATCCAGAGTGTCCATTCTCAGTCTAAGTGTTTCCATCCCTCTGCTAAATTTATTTTCTTTTTTGGTCTTTTTCCTTTTTATCGGTACCGGGGATCGAACTCATGACTGCCTGCTTGCAAGGCACGCGCTTATGCCACTGAGCTACACTTCCAGCCCTGCTAAATTTATTCTTGTTTTATTCCTTTTGGTGCTACTTATTTCACTTTGATTTTCCTTGGAATCATATGGAACTGCAGCTGATTTCTGTGTATTTATCTTGTGTCCTGCTACACTGATGAGCCTGTTTGCTAACTCTGAGTTTTAGTGGTGGCAGCTCAGGGTTTTCTATGCACAAGATCATACCACAGGAAGCAGAAACGGCTGGGTTCCTCCCCAGCAGGGCTGCCATTTACTTTGCCTAACCGCCCTGGCCACAGCCTCCTGACCAGAAAGAGGGCCGAAGCTGCCTGGCTTCAGACAGTGGGAAAGGTGCCCGGTGTTACACCAGGAAGACAATGCCAACGTGAGGCTCTCACCGGCGCCCTGCACAAGGCCAAGAAAGGGCCTCTTCGCCACTCTAGGAGTTATGGCGAAAGGGAATGCATTCTGTTAGGGCCTTTTTTGCATCTATGGAAATGTATTTTCCTCATTCTATTGATATGACATTGATTTTTACATTTCCCACCAGTAGCATATAAAAATGGCATTCAACTTTTTTACGAACAAGTATCATGTGACAACTCAACTAAAAGTACAGTGGAAATAATCCCATCTGCACAACTAAATCATGGAGTTAAGGGTAACAGCAATGCACAACACAGTTGACGTGGCAGTGCACACCTGTGACCCCAGCACCCTGGTAGGCTGACAGAGGACTGCAAGTCTGAGGCCAGCAACTTGTTGAGATCTTCTCAAACAAAACAAAACAAAACAAAAGGTGGTGGTGGTGATGGGGCCCTGCAGCCTGGCACAAAAGCCCTGGGTAAATCCCCAGCACCACCCAACCAAACCAAACCAAAAACTTAACCTTTCTTGCCACTAATATTTCAATAACCTATTATTATTTTGAGACAGTGTCTCACCATGTAGTTCAGGCTGGTGATCCTCCAGCCTCAGCCTCCCAACTGCTGAAGATTATAGGCATGCACCAGCATGCTCAGCTGGGCATTAATATTAACAATTCTTAAGAACCAATTTTGTTTAAAATCATCTGCAGTGCTGCATAGGCCACAAGTGTCAGCGTCTAGAATTTAAAAGGTCCTATATAGAAAGTAACACTTGGAGGAAATGTGGGCTGCTTTTACTGTGGACAGGGCCAAATGTGGAAGTGAAACGGATGAGCCCAGTGTGCACAGGGCCAGCTCCAAGCCCAAGGGCACTGCCTCTCCCTGTGAGGAAGTGTCGGGCTTTGTGTGGCTGGTGACGGCCTTCACCTGACGTCACACGGCAGGGACAGTGGCGGGGCCTGCCATTCCCAGTGACAGTCTATTTTTTCTTTCTTTTTTTTTGGTACCTGGGATCGAACTCACGACCTTGTGCTGGTCTGGCAGGTGCGCACGCCCAGTCACGTTCTTATACAATAAAAGTCTAGAACTGAATCACACAAAAACATTAAAGAAAAAAAAGGTCCAAATAAATATGCTGGGTGTGGTGGCAGCACTTGGGAGGCTGAGGCAAGAGTATCATTGCAAATTCAAGGCCGGCCTGGGCTACATAGTGAGTTCCACGCCTGTTAAAATGTGGCTTAACATGGATATCAGTATTTGGTCAAATGTAGAAAAGGACATTACTTTTAGTATGCCGAGAAAAACCTTCTGACAAGTCTGTGAAAACAGAAAAGCGTTAGTGCAATTACCAGATTTCTCTGTGGCCCTGGGCAGTGAACCGAGGCCTTGCACTGAGCTACATCCTCAGCCTCAGTTTAGCTGCAAACAGTGTCTCGTTAACAGCAAGTTGCCTCAGCCTTCCAGAATGACAGGATTACAGATGCTCACCACCAGACGTATTCCTTTTGCAGGGCTGGATGTTTGCACCAGGCCTCCCACACACTATGCAAATGACCTACCACTATGCTATAATCCCAGCCCACCGTACATTTTTTTTGTCTTTTTTGTTTTTACCGGTATCAGGGATCGAACTCACGACTGCCTGCTTGCAAGACAGGCGCTTATGCCACTGCCCCCCTCCATACATTTTTTGAGACAGGGTCTCACTTTGTAGTTCAGGGTAGTCTTGAAATCACCATGTAGCTCAAGCTGGCCTAAAACTTGCTGTGATCTTCCTGCCTGAGCCTCCCAAGTACTGGGTACAGGCATGCAACACCATATGCTTTTTTTAATTTAAAAAATTTTTTGGAAAAGAAGGACTTGATATTTTGTCCAGGTTGGTCCTGAACTCCTGGATTCAGCTCATCCCTCTTCTCAGCCTCCTGACGCTGGGGTACATTGCTTACCTGGCAAGGGTGGAGAAACTCCACCAATGGGCATAAATACTAAACCCTTGTTTTGTTGACAGAATTACTTCTTTCCATTATTATGCAGATGAAAAAATTATAGATATAGGCTCAATGCTACAAATCAATTGATCCTTTCAAATAAAACTGACATTAGTCAAACATGTTTCTTGGATTTGAAACATTTCCCTCCTGTCACATGAATTATCAACTCAACCTACTTCCACACGTTCTTTTTTCCTGTGTATTGTGGACTCTCTTTCAAGTGTAGCTCCTGCTGTGGCAGGCCGCCCATGTCACCAGTTCCATGGAAGAGGCCAAACTCCCGCCGCACACCTCCTTCGGTGCAGCCCAACAGCACCCAGCTCCGAAGGAGGCCTTGTCAGGACAGCTTCTGTGGAGCTCCACATTGAAAAAAGAAAAACACTTCCCTGTGCACAGGAGGGAAGAAGCAATGCTGTTTATTAACCTACCTGTATTTTCAGAAAGGATTAAAAAACACATATTTCCTGGGACACAGAGCTGTACCAAAAGGGTTCCTTACAAAACCATTGAGGCCCTGACTGCACACAGATACACGCACCGACAGACTCGAGCCTCACGGAGAACACAACTCAACGTTTCTGCGACAACACTACCAAATCCTTATTGCATTAATGTGAGTTTTCTGTAGTCTCTTAAAAATAGTAATAAAAAATTACAAAATAATGTAAATGTAGAATTAAGCCTGAGACCATACAATCCAGTATTCTCAGTCAGATGACACTGTCAAAAGTCACGCCGCTGTCCGTGTGACTGCACAGGAGAAGTCTGTGCCCAAATGGGGCCTGAGGGCTTGCTCTCGCGGGCTCCTGTCTCAGTGTGCATGGCCCCAGGCACCTGTGCTTGTTTCCATTTCTTAGCCTGAAATTCTCCTGTAACTTCTTCACCTGCTTACATTAAATATCTAGTCTCTAGAACTTTCCTCACACAAAAGAACAAACATCTCTGTTAAATAAATTCACACGAAAGTAATAAAAGGTTTGAGAAATGTCCTATTGTACAGGTCCGCGGAGACACAGCACACACGCTCTCTCTTCGGGGCGCAGGAAGGCTGTGTGTGGTCTGTGGTCGCTGTCACACGCAGTCCTGGTGCCCTGAAGAGGAGCCTGAGGGCCAGGCCTGGAGCCACTGTGCTTGCCCATGCTGCCTGGGCCACTGGGAGGCGCTTCCAGTTCAGCTGCACAGCTGGGCAATTCTGCCCGGATCCTTGGTCGGAGTCTGGAGCCCTCAGTTGGCTAAATCGCCTTTTGGTCTTCTGAAAAAGAGACACAGAGGCAAAGGCATTCTCAGCAAGAGACCTGGCCCTCAGATCTGTCTCAGTCCCAATCCCGGTGGGGAGGACAAACACATGCAGTGAGGTCTAGGAGCAAAGCTTCTATGCACTACATCCTTCCAACATACCGCTGAGGTACAAACAACACATGACACCCTCCGTGGGTGCTGCTGTCCCGGCTGTACACGCACACATCTGCAGTGTGAGGGGCTTATCAACTCGGCCCCCAAGTCTACACATCGTTACTTACCTTCCTCCTTCCTTTGAATGAAACTAGAAGAACCAAGAGAGATTACAGTGCTTTTATACAAAGTCACAAAGTAAAGACAAGAAAATGTTTAAGAAACACCTATAATCCCACCAATGTAGAAATGAACACAGCACCTATATTTCAGACATGCCTGCATGCTTGCCTTTCTTTTTGAAACAGGGTCTGACTCTGTAGTCCAGGCTGACCTCAAGTTCACTATGTCCTCACGGCAATCCTCCTGCCTCAGCTTTCTGTGTGCTGGAGAACGGGTGTGTGCCACCATGCCCAGCCATGCTTTCTTCCTAAGGCTAGATCTCTGACTACTGCCCCTGGCAGAAGGCAATCCAGACACACCTTTTAACACTGAGTTCATTTGCATCTTTTCTTTCATGTTTCATATGATAATGGCTTTCTGTGTAATTAATGACTACATGGAGCTGACAAAACAGGCCGTGTGATCTCTATTAAAAGTAAACATATACACACAAAATAATAAAAACAGCAGGGTATATATGGACTGGCATTTCCACTGGAAGAACCACTCCACTGTCTGCTGCAAGCAGTCAAAGTTCTCCAGGTTTAGGTCAGCTGTGGGGACTACACCGGAGTCAAAGTTAAGTTCTTCATGATCTGCATAATCACAGCTTCAGTACCACTGATGGCTTATAGTTCCGACTATCAATAATTTCTTCTAGCATGTATAAAATTCAAAGACACAAGGCAATAAGAATGAGAAGGACGGCTGGCAGGATGGTTGAGACTGCTTCGATTTCTTGAGCACCTACAGTGCTGGTGTAGGTGAGTTTTATAGTAAGTATAAGGGAAATAAGATACAGTACTAATGTGCTGATCAAGAATACAATTATTAGTGTGTGGTCCTGAAAATGTAGTTCTTCTATAATAGTGGAGGCAGCATCCTGGAAACCTAACTCATAGGGGTGGGCATTGAAGATATGCAGGACTCTAACCAATGTTTAACTATGACAAAGGCACACAATGTTTTTACTAATATCTTCCTAGTTAAGAAAGCCATGGGGCCCATGGAGCTGGCTTAAAACCAGTTTAGGGGTTCAATTCTTTCCTTTTTTTTTTTGGTACTGGAGATTGAACTCACCATCTCATGCTTGCCAGGCAGGTGCTCACACCACTGAGCTAAACCCCGGCCCTGATTCTTTCCTTTCTTATCCTTAGAATTTGATGAATGTAAGTTCTTCAAATGTGTGGTATGGTGGGAGGCATCCATGAAGTCATTTTAAATTAACTGGAGTTCAATGCTTATAATTTCCTGGGGTTTTTTTGGTACTGGGGACCAAACTAATAACCTTGCTCTTGCCAGGCAGACACTTATGCCACTCAGCTAAATCCCTAGCCCAAAAAGTGGGTTTTGTTTGTTTTGGTACTAGGAATCAAACTCACCACCTCACATTTGCAAGGCAGGCGCTGTGCCACTGGGCCCTAATTTCCTGTTTTGAAGCAAATGCTTCTCAGAGTATGACAATTCTTCCTGTAACGGCTGTTAGACAGATGAAGGACCCACTGATGAGACAGTATTCCAATGTGTATGCACCTGGGAAATCAGAGTGTTGAGGGGATTACAGAGAGTCCCAGGCAGTGCTGAAGAAAGAATGTTAGGTTAATGCCAGTGACTATTCCGAAGAAGTGAATTCCTGCTCCTGCTGAATTCAGAGTACAGCTGTGAACGGTGGAACCCAATAGGCAAATCCTCTGATGGCAGCGAATAGGGCCCTATGGTAAGACACAGTGGAAATGTGTAACTAGGTAATGTGTCCTGTAAGACGGCGCCTCTTCTGGTGAGAAGACAAACCTCACGGCTTCTAACACTGCTGGGGATCATGCTACCCCCTCGGCTGCCCCCCCCACACAACCTAGCTGACACGACACTGCCACCAGCCAACAGTGAAACCAAAACCAATGCAGACCCACATGGCCCACACTGCTGAGGAGCCCTAATAATCAAGGTCTGAGCCCAACTGGAGCTGAGATGGGGGCACAGCTGGGGCCGCAGAACCAGGAGGCGCAGGGCACAGCGCCGCGGTGTCCCCAGGCAGGAGGAGCCTTCTGCTCTGCCCAGAGTCCAGAGAGGGGTCCCCAGGTCTCGCTGGGTCCCACACACCGGGGCTGTTAGGCTGTCACTGAAAGGCAGCCCTCACCCAGCATCAGGACGCCAGAGTGACCACAGCGAGGCAGAGGGGCGAAGGTGGCCACTGCTCTCTTCCCAACTGTGGTAACTGCTTTACCAAATCTTGATTTGATACCTTTGCTGCTTTTTCCCTACAGTATTTCAGGATATCTCCCACATAGCATCTAACCAGTGAATATCCTACCGTATACATTTCTAAGTATACATCAGTTTCTTTTTGAGATTTTTTTTTTTGTCTTTTTCCTTTTCATCGGTACCAGGGATTGAACTCACAACTGCCTGCTTGCAAGGCAGATGCTTATGCCACTGAGCTAAATCCCCAGCCCTCTTGAGAATTATATTTAACATAAATATTACATTGCTATGCTTAAGAAATGAACAGGAGGATGCCAAGTTCAAGGTCAGCCTGGCCAATTTAGCATCTAGACCCTGCCTCAACACAAGCAGCAGAAAAAGGACTGGGAGTCAGGTGTGGTGGTGCATGCCAATAATTCTAGCACTCAAGAGGCTGAGGCAGGAGGCAGCTGGGCTACACAGTGAGTTGAAAGCCAGCCTGAACTGTAAAGATAAAGCATCCTAAGCAAAGAGAAAAAGAACTGGACATGTAGCTCAGTGCTAAGCCCCTGGGTTCAATCCACAATACCAAACAAACAAAACCATATTATTTAATGTGCAAGTATTTAGATTTCTCCAATCATCACTTTTGGATGGTGGTGACAGTACTGCTGAACTATACCTGCAACCCTTTTTATTTTTAGGCAAGGTCTTTTTTCTTTTTCATTTTTGGAGACAAGGTCCTGCAATGTAGTTTGGAATGGCCTTGAACGCAGTGGTTCTCCTGCCTCAGCCTCTTGAATGGCCCACCACACTCAGCTTTGTTTTTATGTAAGAATTCTGTATAAAGAACGTTTTTACTTGGTAACCTGAAGGACAGTTCATAAACTAAGTCAGAACACGTATCTTCCAAGTGGCTACCTCAAGTAACAGAGTGATGAGCTGGAACTCGGGCACCTGCCAGGGATGTCTAGACGGTAACTTTCTGCAACATGACAGGGCTGTTTCACAGTCTGGCCTCCATCTCGGCCCTCTCCCTGCCCTCATCAGACTGGTCACTACTGCCGACTCCTCACGCCTCTCCTCCTTTAGTCCTCCACTTTGTCATGCCTGCTGGCCACTGACACTGCTGTGCCACCGGATGTCACGCGGTCTTTCCTTCCATACAGAAAAGTACCTTCTGAGCTGTCCCTCGCCAGGACAGAACCACAGAGCCTGCAGAGCAGGAGTCGTGTCCCTGTGACACCCTCGGGAAACCATGCACCCCTCATAGCACCCTTCTGGGATACAGTCTCCCAGGGACAGTTCTCACCACTGAGGTACACTGTAAGACGGGTTGTTTTGCTTTGCTTCCTGACACAGGCTTCGTTACACAGTCTGGGCTGG